GGAAGGGATGACAGCTCCTTCGATCCTCGAAGCCAAGGTCCTTCTTGGGACGCCTCGCAAGTTTCCCTCCTGAAAGATCATGTTGCTCCCATCGAACTTAAAAGACCACATCCCATCAATAATTTCGAGCACCCGGAAAAGTGTCGGAAGAGTGTCAAAACGGTGTCGACACAGTGTCGGGCGAATGTCTCCCAGGCCCCGACACGTGAAAACAATAGAGTTTCGGTGTTTTTTGTCTGGTGCTCGAAGGTCTTTCTGGTGATCAAGGCTAAAGCAGGTTGGCACATCATAACTGAAGGGTGGGTCTGGGAACCGGCTGCATGCAGCCGGGTGTTCCACGCGCCGAGGAGGCGTCTGATGCGGCAGTGCATCAAGGAGCGCGCCGGGCGGCGGGGCCAACAGCAACTGCAAACAACACTCTGTCGTACCCTCCACCCCTTTCGAGTAGGGGATCGACTACAGAATCGATTTGCCCCAACATTCATTCCCTCGTCGAACCCACGGGGGAAAAAAGTATAATGTTCCGTGTAGCTACGACTATTCTACGCTTGACTGATGGATTCGACGAGAAATTCCATTTAGGGTAAATCAATTCTGTAGTCGATCCCCTTACTCGATCCTTCCGACCCAATTCGTCCGTACTGCTCTGCTCGACGGGAATTCGTGCATACGCGCCGATCTGGAGACGCGCCGCCAAAAGCATACCGAGCGCTGGGTACTGATGCTTCTCGCCATGAAAGGGGCGGGCGCGAAAGGTGTCCAGAGGGCCATGGGAGTCTGAACACGGGGGGAGGACAGGAAGTTGAGGATGGGCGGATGGGACGAGGATGGCATGTGAGCGGCTGAGAGAGGGGGAATACCAACAACGAAACTAACAAAATGAAGCGAACAGAAAAGGGGTAAGCTTACTCTGGCTCTTGCAGCCAGGAAGCGGTGCGAGACAGGAAGAGGACAAGGGCGAGCAAGAGGGTGGGCCACTTGGGGCCATCCTGGGGCTTAGGAGGGGCGATCTGGGGCTCCCACGGCGCCATCTCGGGGCCCCTTCGGCCCAATTTCGAACGTCTGAGGGCCGTCCGCGTTGCGAGGTCGTGGAGACGTCCTGGGTCCTGGGTCAGGCTCGGGGGCCGCCTTAGCCCATTTGTATTTGGAATGCCTCCGGCCTCTGGGGCACTCTTGGGGAAACGCTGATGCCCTTTGACCCTCTGGAACCCTCTGGGGCCCCGCTCAGAAGTTAGAGCCAAAACAAGAGTGGGGCCAATTATCCGCCGCCTACGCCTCTTGGGCATCTAGGATTAGGTCGGGCATGTCCTCTTACAGGCTGATTTTGAACGACAAATTAAACATGTTACAAACATGCTTAACAATTGCCAACAACATACTAAAACAATCGTGCACATACTATCTTTTGACTAGTTTGCAGTCTAGGAGTCCTGTGTGGCTGGAATGTATGCCGACGGCAGGATGCACATGGGGAGGTCCAGGGACGAGTTGGCCAATGGTTGGGGCGGACGCACCGTCGGTCGCACGGAGTCCTCGATTCCCTTCGAAACAACACCGATTTGTACCCTGAGGTACGTAGATCTCGGACGGCATTGAAGGAAAACTTCCGCAGGCGCAGGACCCCCCGCGCTCCATGAGAGAGGTGCGGGGAGGGGCTCGACGCGGGCGGGAGGCTGCCATGAAGGGGGCGCCGGGAAAAAGGACGCTGGTGTGCCGTCCGCCCTCCCAAACCGCATCGTCATAACTTTGTTAATGGCGCGACCCCCAGAGGTCTGGACCCATTTCCCGGGACCGGGTCTGCACCCTGAGTAGTTTTTCGACGGTCCCGAGGCCCGGTAAGGGCCCACAGAGGCCGAACATAGCAAACAACCTTCCGTCGTTATTTTTCCATGACTCGAAGGGGTCTGGGTCCACAGGAGCCCCTGGATCATCAGGCCGGGAGTAAGGGTGCAAGCTGGGGGCCTCCTCCTCCTCCTCCTCCTCCTCCTACTCCTCCTCCTCCTCCTCCTCCTCCTCCTCCTCCCCTTGGGCCTCCTCCCTCCTCCTCCTCCTCCTCCTCCTCCCCTTGGGCCTCCTCTCTCCTCCTCCCCCTCCTCCTCCTCCTCCTCCTCCTCCTCCTCCTCTCCTCCTCGGGCCTCCTCTCCTCTCCTCCTCCTCCTCCTCCTCCTCTCCTCCCTCCTCGTCCTCCTCCTCCTCCTCCTACTCGTCCTCCTCCTCCTCGTCCTCCTCCTCCTCCTCCTCCTCCTGCTCTTCCTCCTCTGGCCCTCTCTGGCTCGCATCCTCGCTGCTGGCGGCACCCACCGAGGAGCCCGCGTACAGCAGCCCCTCCCGCGACCGCAGGGCGCAGCCAGCGAGGAGCGCCTCGCCGGCGGGCGGCCAGTAGGCCCTCGCGGCCGAGTTCCGGGCGAGCGACGCCTGCAACTCTCCCAGCGACTCGCCTGCCTGACCCAGACCCCCTCGCGTTGTGAAAAAAACACGACGGGAAATGTTTCATTATTTTCTGCCTCTTGGGGCCCTCGCCTGGCCTCGAGACCGTGAAGAAACGACTCGGGGCGAGAAACCAGTCCCGGGGAAGGGGGCCAGACCTCTGGGGGTCGGCATTGCGAAAAAATCACAACGTCGGGGGTCTGGGGAGCATCGTTCAACCGATACAGTGAGGCCGCACAACATGCGCGGCAAGGATGCAAGGGCCTTTTAGGGCCACGTTGGCGCTTTCGAATGGGGTTGGTAAGCGAAAGTCGCCAGGGATGAGCCACGGATGCAAGGGTAGCCTTGGGAAGTTGCCCATCCTGACTAAGCGTAGGTCGGGCATGTCCCTCTGCAGGGGGATGTTGCACGAAAAATTGGAAATACCCAAAGAATACCCAAATATGTTTTTAAACATGCTCAAGAAATGATCCCCATACTATTAGTTTATACAATTTCCCAACCATCCTGTGGTGTTGGGTCCTCGGTTTGAAGAGACGTCGCCCCGCGTTCTCCCCTCCTCTCCTCCTCCTCCCCCGTCCTCCCTCCTCCCTCCTCCATCCATCATCATCGTCATCATCATCGTCGTCATCACCCATTTCGGCACACCCCTCACACGTTTCGTGGCCCCATAGGGAGCTCCACCGAAGGCCCCAATGCCGCCGCCCGCATGCGTCCCGCACACCCAAGTCGGCACACCTCTAACATGCTTCGTGGCCCCATAGGGAGCTCCACCGAAGGCCTCAGTGCCGCCGCCCGCATACGTCCCGCACACCCAATTCGGCACACCCCTCACGCGTTTCGTGGCCCCACAGGGAGCTCCACCGAAGGCCCCAATGCTGCCGCCCGCATGCGTCCCGCACACCCAATTCGGCACACCCCTCACACGCTTCGTGGCCCCATAGGGAGCTCCACCGAAGCCCCCAGCGCCGCCGCCCGCATGCGTCCCGCACACCCAAGTCGGCACACCCCTCACACGTTTCGTGGCCCCATAGGGAGCTCCACCGAAGGCCCCAGTGCCGCCGCCCGCATGCGTCCCGCACACCCAAGTCGGCGCACCCCTCACACGTTTCGTGGCTCCAAAGGAAACTCAACCGAAGGCCCCAGTGGCGGCGCTCACATGCGCATGCGTCACCCACACCCAATTCGGCATTCCCCTCACACGTTTCGTGGCCCTATAGGGAGCTTCACCGAAGGCCCCAGAGGCGGCGCTCACATGCGTCACCCACACCCACCCAATTGGGCACACCCCTCACACGTTTCGTGGGCTCATAGGGAGCTCCACCGAAGGCCCCAGTTGCCGCGCTCACATGCGTCCCCACCACCCAATTCGGCACGCCCCTCACAGGTTTCGTGGCCCCATAGGGAGCTCCACCGAAGGCCCCAGTGGCACCGCCCGCATGCGTCACCCGCACCCAATTCGGCACACCCCTCACACGTTTCGTGGCCCCATAGGGAGCTCCACCGAAGGCCCCAGTGGCAGCGCTCACATGCGTCTCCGCCACACATCCCGGTACACCCCTCACACGCTTCGTGGCCCCCCAATGGCGGCACTTACATGCGTCTCCGCCACCCATCCCGCCCCCCCCCCCCGCATGTTTCAGGGCCCCATAGGGAGCTCCACTGGAGGCCCCAGTGGCGGCCCTCACATGCGCTTCCGCCACCCATGTTGGCACACCCCGCACGTGTTTCATGGCCCCATAGGGCGCTTCACCGAAAGCCCCAGTGGCACCCATCTCGGCTCACCCATCACACGTTCCGTGGTCTTATGGGGAGTTCCACGGAAGATGAAACCCACAGCTGCGGTACTCACAACTGCATGTGGTTGTTTTCTTCGCCAGGCTAATTGAATATTCCTCCTGTGGAGGGCCAGTCCCGACTTCATACTAAGCGACTTGACTGTGCCTGCCCGCTGGCGTGGCCTGGGCCCCACTCGCCGACTTGTTCACTCAGGTCCCTAGTGGGGATCACCCTGCAAGGTATTGACCCCCCCCCGAATCCTGGGCAAAGCATTATTATCCTGGGGTCTACTTGAAGACTTCTGACACCCAACAATGCAAGGCAAATAATTATTCCGGCGGCGACGGCGACGACGTCGAAGACGACGACGACGACGACAGCGACGGCGACGGCGACGGCGACGGCGGCGGCGACGGCGACGGCGACGGCGGCGGCGACGGCGACGGCGACGGCGACGGCGACGACGACGACCGCGACAACGACTACAACTACAACTACTACTACTACTACTACTACTACTACTACTACTACTACTACTACGACTACGACTACGACTACGACTACGACTACGACTACGACTACGACTACGACTACGACTACGACTACGACGACTACGACTACGACTACGACTACTACTACGACTACTACTACTACTACTACTACTACTACTACTACTACTACTACTACTACTACTACTACTACTACTACTACTACTACTACTACGACTACGACTACTACTACTACTACTACTACTACTATTGCTACGACTCTCATGCTAATAGGAAGGGTAGGGACTCGTACGAAAAACCTTGTAAGAACAGGCACGGAGCTTCGTCATCTTACAGGGTAGCACAGGGTGTAATATCTGCCAGAAACATAACCGCCCAACACAGGCCAGCACGGCGAACAATACTGGACAATCAATTCAGCTGCCGACCACCACACCTGATTGACAAGCTAGTGCTTTGTGGGGGTCCCCGTGCAGCATGAAAGACCTCCTGCGGTGAAAATGCCTGTTCCTGCGGGTTTCGCGGGGCCGGTGGGCTGGTGGACTGGTGAGGATGGGGATAGGTCAGTCGGTGTCAGCCCCACCTGAGTAGGAGGATGGGCTGGTGGGGCCGAGATGTCATGGCCCAGTGGGGATGGGAAAAGATTACGACGGTGGTGATCGCCAGCTCCAAGTGGCCGAAGTTGGAGTGCTGCAGGCACCGCCCTGCGCCGCCGCCGGCACCATCGGCAAGCAGCTCTGCCACAAGCGGGTGCCGCGCGAGCACCCCGCGCCGCGCCGGGCGCGCCACCCAGCCGGGCGCGCGCGGGCGCGGAGCCTTCAGCTCGGCGCCGTCGGCGGCGGCCGCGCCGCCCGCGCCAGCGTCCAGCCAGCGAAGCCGCTTGTACGTGGCGAGCTCGCGCAGCAGCGCCCCCGCCGCCGCCTCGGGCGGCGCGCGGCTGGCCACCGCGTCCAGGCCCACCTCGCCGTGTGCGAAGAGCCCCGCCACCAACGTCCGCTCCTAGGGGGGCAGCAAGGCGCCGATACCACCACTCACCGGACCCCTCAAGGGGCGCGTTCTGACCAGAACGTCGAGGCGAGTGAATCCAGCCGTGGCGATGAAAGCCTCCAAAGAAGCCCCAAAAGGTGAAAACGAGGCGAGGGTAGCGCTTTCGGTACCTCATCCTGTGAGGGGAGGCCCCGAAGCGGCCGAAAGCACCCCCGAAGCATCGGCGCCGTCGACGCCGACGCCTGAGGGATGTTAGGGGGGGTCCAACTCAGGGGGGTAAAACATCAACCTGGAATCGGCGATAAATCGCCGACAGATCGGCGATAGACCTCCGAAAGCAAATCCGCATTGTCCTGAGCAGGGTGGGCCATCGGGCCCTTCTCGGCAATGAATGGGCAAAAGGAGGCCGATGCATCCCCCACTAAACCTACCCCCCCGAACGTTGCCCCCGAACTTTCGGGTCACAACTCGCCTCTCCAGCAGCCGATCGCGACGATCTGGGCACACCTGGAACGCTCTCAGTGAAGCGCAGCCGCTGAAGGCACCCCGAGACTGGAAAACCGATGAGAACCGACGAAAACGTACGCAAACCTTCATATAACCTCGAAGCACGTCGCCCGAATTATCCCGGCAAAGCAACCTAACAGCGATGTGTAGGAGCATATCTGGAAGCATTCCCCTTAAGATTCAGATGAGAATCCAGTTGTAGAATTGTGCTGTTCTCGCAGTCGTAGTCGCATTCGCGATGACAGTCGCAGTGGCAACGGCAGTCACAGACACAGCCTCAGCCTCAGCCTGCCTCAGCCTCAGCCTCAGCCTGCCTCAGCCTCAGCCTGCCTCAGCCTCAGCCTCAGCCTGCTTCAGCCTCAGCCTCAGTCTGCCTTCAGCCTCGGCCTCAGCCTCAGCCTGCCTCAGCCTCAGCCTCAGCCTCAGCCTCAGCCTGCCTCAGCCTCAGCCTGCCTCAGCATCAGCCTGCCTCAGCATTCAAAATGTGGCCCGGGAATGGAGTTCTGGGAACTCGAAGAACACGAAGTGGCCTACAGTTGGCTCCGGGCATTCAAAATCATGCCCAGGAATGGAGTTCTGGGAACTCGAAGTGGCCTACAGTTGGCTCCGGGCAGGCCCGGGAATGGAGTTCTGGGAACTCGAAGCACGAAGTGGCCTACAGTTGGCTCCGGGCATTCAAAATGTGGCCCGGGAATGGAGTTCTGGGAACTCGAAGAGCACGAAGTGGCCTACAGTTGGCTCCGGGCATTCAAAATGTGGCCCGGGAATGGAGTTCTGGGAACTCGAAGACCACGAAGTGGCCTACAGTTGGCTCCGGGCATTCAAAATGTGGCCCGGGAATGGAGTTCTGGGAAGTCGAAGAGCACGAAGTGGCCTACAGTTGGCTCCGGGCATTCAGAATGTGGCCCGGGAATGGAGTTCTGGGAGGTCGAAGAGCACGAAGTGTGTGACTGTTGCTTAAAACGACTTCTGCGGCACCCTGTCCGGCACCCGCCCAGACCCCCCTGTGGAGTCATCTGCTGCTCTCTTTTGACCCTACTAGAAACCTATCAGAACAAGCTGTTAGGTAATTATCCCGGCAAAGCAACCTAACAGCGATGTGTAGGAGCATATCTGGAAGCATTCCCCTTAAGATTCAGATGAGAATCCAGTTGTAGAATTGTGCTGTTCTCGCAGTCGTAGTCGCATTCGCGATGACAGTCGCAGTGGCAACGGCAGTCACAGACACAGCCTCAGCCTCAGCCTGCCTCAGCCTCAGCCTCAGCCTGCCTCAGCCTCAGCCTGCCTCAGCCTCAGCCTCAGCCTGCTTCAGCCTCAGCCTCAGTCTGCCTTCAGCCTCGGCCTCAGCCTCAGCCTGCCTCAGCCTCAGCCTGCATCAGCCTCAGCCTCAGCCTCAGCCTCAGCCTCCCTCAGCCTGCCTCAGCATTCAAAATGTGGCCCGGGAATGGAGTTCTGGGAACTCGAAGAACACGAAGTGGCCTACAGTTGGCTCCGGGCATTCAAAATCATTCCCAGGAATGGAGTTCTGGGAACTCGAAGACCACGAAGTGGCCTACAGTGGAGTTCTGGGAACTCCGAAGTGGCCTACAGTTGGCTCCGGGCAAAAATGTGGCCCGGGAATGGAGTTCTGGGAACTCGAAGAGCACGAAGTGGCCTACAGTTGGCTCCGGGCATTCAAAATGTGGCCCGGGAATGGAGTTCTGGGAACTCGAAGACCACGAAGTGGCCTACAGTTGGCTCCGGGCATTCAAAATGTGGCCCGGGAATGGAGTTCTGGGAACTCGAAGAGCACGAAGTGGCCTACAGTTGGCTCCGGGCATTCAAAATGTGGCCCGGGAATGGAGTTCTGGGAGGTCGAAGAGCACGAAGTGTGTGACTGTTTGCTTAAAACGACTTCTGCGGCACCCTGTCCGGCACCCGCCCAGACCCCCCTGTGGAGTCATCTGCTGCTCTCTTTTGACCCTACTGGAAACCTATCAGAACAAGCTGTTATGTAAAAACCTTTAACCTTGAAGCCTTCGCCCAATCACGTTGCTGCTGGTCGTGGAAAGTCACGACTGGAGAGGTAGGCCCAATCCTTCTGCTGCATTTCTTGTTCGAATCGGCTCGATATGTGAGGGTCCGGCTGCCCGAGACCTGACAAAACTGCCCGGTGCAAAAACACTGGGACGCCAGGATCTTAGGGAGTGTAGCGTTAGGTCGGGCATGTCCCCCTACAGGTGGATTTTGGACAAATAACAAATACCCCAACAAAATTCAAACATATTCAGGATATCGTCCCCAGACTACCCATCACGTACATAGACCGATCTCAACGAGACGAAACACTACCCAAAGCGCAGCCCAAAACACAAAGAAGGTTTTGCCCATTTTCTTTTCCGAGGCGCGCGCTTTTGCAGCATTGTGAGCAACATTTGGGACGGCATTTCGAGGGATGTTCAGTCATCGCGTTCCCGCGTCGTAAACGGCGCGTTTGGGCTGTTTTGGCCAGTCCCTGGTTTTAGGCAGGCCCTGTTTTGGGACTGTCTCTGGGGGGCGCCTGACAATCCGCTGGCCACCTTGCGGCTGCTGTTCCCTGCGCGAGTTGCGTTTCAAGTCTCCAGTGTCACAGTCAAGTTTTTTACTTCCTACTGCAATTTGTAAAATCCGCGCGAGGGGGCGGAGCCCCAAACCAGCAATTTACCACCCTCGGATCGCGTGCCCTGACGTCCCGGGGGAGCGTGGGACATGTAAAAAGACGTGAGATTCGCGCCGCCGAAGCCATAATCCTTCGTAGATTACTCCCTACTCGCGTCTCCGAAGCCACAACCTTTGTCAAGTATGCAATTCTTGCGTCCCCGAGGCAACAATCCCTGTCTGTACATTACGCAAGATTCGCGTCCCCGTAGCTATAATCCTTTCTGGAAGTTATGATGTTCGCGTCCCCGAGGCCGTAAACCTTTGCAAATTACATAAAGTGTGCGTCCCCAAAGCATCATAATCTCGAAGCTGATGCAATACTCACGTCCCCGAGGCCAGAAACTCTCGCTAATTACAAGATGTTCGCATTGCCGAGGACAGGAGTGCTCCAAGGCGCCCGGAGATGGCTCCAAGACAGCCCAAGGCCCAAGAAGGCCCCAAGAGCGCTGCAAGAGGCCTCCCGAGAGAGCCCCACGAAGCCAAAAAACGCAGATTTAGAACATGTGTTTGAAGGATTTGGGCTGATTCGCATTTGTTGCTTTCCGACGCTCCAAAACGGCTAAAGCTCCCAAACACGCCCCAAGACAGCCCAAGACGCATCCAACAGGGCCCCCAGACGGCCCAAGAGGGCGCCAAAATGGCCCAAAAAGTGATCCGAGAAGCCCCGAGAAGCCCCCAGGAGGCCCCAAGAGGCCGCCAACAGGCCCCAGAGGCCCCAAGAGGCGCCCAAGACGCGTCCAAGAGGCCTCCAACAGGCCAAAAAGATACCCTTCGAGGCTTCAAGAGGCCCCCAAGAGGCGCCCAAATAGCCTCCAAGAGGCCCCCGAGGGCCACCCCACGACACCGCAACACATATACAAGAGGCGTCAGACCCACAACCCAGGCACGGTGGCGGGATGGGCCGAAGGCCACTAGGACCCGCCGCCGCCCTGTCGATTCATCGCAGGGGTGCCTGGCGTGCTAGACCCTCTCGGTTTTGGTTTTGGTGTGTGTTTTTTTGCTTCAGCCCTCCCCCGTAAGGATTGGGGGAGAGAGGTGAATCAGCCTTCTTTTCTTGAGCCATATCACAACATGCGTTTTCACTCCCCACCCCTTCCGACCTGGCCTCCTGGGCCCCGCGGGTGCACCCCCTCAGACATAGACCAGGGACGAGCACCTCTCCTCGAGGTCGCGGGTGAAGAGAGCGGGCAAACGGCCCTCGCCCGCGTTCTGCGCCTCGGTGATCAGCCAAAGCGCTCCTGCAGGCGGTCCAGCACCTCCGTGGTGGTGGCCACCATCTTGTTGATCCTGCGCCCGCTCGCCAGCATGCGAGCTTGCCACTTCGCGCCGATCCCGTGGTCCTTCAGCTCGTTGGTCAGCTGGGCGACCACCTGCATCTCCATCGGGCTGGTCTCACTGGCCGTCTCGACGAGCTCCTCCTTCCTGGTGTAGCCCGCCATGAGCCGCGCGTTCCGCTCGACTAGCAGGCCCCGCAGCTCGCCAACGGTGTAGGTCTCGTACAGGCGGTGAACCTCGCGCGTCGTGTACTTCTGCTCGTTGGTGTAATCCGAGCTCCTCCAAGCGGTCCGCTCCTCTGGCGGCTCCTGCCTGGACTCCGTGTCCTCCTCGAGCCTCCTGGCGGTCGGCATCGGGCTCGATGCCTCGGGCGGCCGCTGCCTGGGCTCGACGGGGTCCTCGTGTTGCGTCCTCTCTCCTCTCGGCGCCGCTCTTGGTCCCCGTTCGGCCGTCTGGGAGGCCGCCTTGCGCCTGCCCACGTACCAGCCGGCGAGGTAGGCAATGAGGCACAACACGAAGATCAAGCTCACCAGCAGCCAGGGAAATCCTCTCAGCTGCCCCGCTCCAAGCGTCTCGCCCTCGTCGTCCACCCTGCGCTGTTCCGACGACGCCGCCGCGCTCGGAATCGCCAGGAGCGTCGAAGAGGACCATGGCCATGCCCGTCATCCTCAGGCTCAGCTCGTGCAGGTGCTTGGCCATGCTATCCTTGTCCACGTACTTCGTCAGTATATCCGCCATCATCTTGCGGGCGCCCTCCCTCGCGAGCTCGAACATCTGGAGTCGAAGCCATGCCTGCGCCCAAAGATAGCGCAGCTCCAAGTGGCGCACCTTGCCCACTCCGTGCCGCTGGGCCATGCCGCGAGCGGCCGCGCTGTCCGAGGCCAGCACCAGCTTGATCTCGATCCCGATCTCGCTCTGGAAGAACGTCATCTGCAGACCTCGGGCCGCGATTGAGCCGAGGGCGTAAAACTCCGACTCGCCGCTGCTCAGCGCCTGGGTGGCCTGGCTGGCCGAGTAGCAGTCCCAGGTATGATTGCCGAACCTGATCGTGCCTCCCGAGGTGCTCTTGCGCGCCACTGCCGTAGGGGCTGCCCAATCTGCGTCTCCATCGGCCCTCAGCACCTTCGGCATGTCCTGCAACTCGTGGCACCAGACCAGGACCTGGTGGCCCTCGAGGTAGCGGGCCAACCTCATGAGCCTCGCGTTCATCTGGTAGTTCGGCTTGCTCACGTCCTGCATGATGGTCTTGCTCGAGAACATGATGTCAGGGCGATCCGCCGCCAGGTAGAGCGCAAGCCCTCCTGCCGATGCTGTCTTACGAGCCTCAGCCGTGGGCATCGGGCCCGTCGCGTTGCGCAGCTGTGCTCCTATCGCATTGGTGCCGGGTGTGTCGACTACCTTGGCGCCCTCCTTGGATCCGAACTTGATGATCCCCGCCGCGTGCTCCGGATCCGCGTGCCAGAAGAAGCCTGGTAGCAACGTCTCAGGTAGCTTGTCCACGTAGCCGCAGACGCGCTTCAGGTATCGGGCAACTCCGGGGTGTCCAGGTCCCAACGGCGGCGATGAGGTAATCTCGTACTCCACTCTCAGGACGTCGTCCAGCTGGTCGAGCGTCGCGACGTGGCCCTCCGCAATAAAGTCGTCGCCGTGGACCCCCATCGTGGCGTCTTTGCCGTCGCAGCAGAGTTTAGGGAAGTAGAACATGCCAGGGGCACCCTTCAGCGCCTTGCCTCCAGCGTCGTCCGAGGTAGCCTTCACGTTCTCGCCCCACAGCTGGCTGGCCAAGCGGGTCCCGCACAAGGCCTTGTGCAGCTCCCAGCAGAAGCCTCGCTCGCACAGCTCGCTGCCTGGGTGGACGTAGATCTGCTCGTGCAGGTCGGTGTTGAAGAACGCCTTGCGGACATCTCAGATGCGGATGCACCTTCGGTGCAGACCGTCGCCGTCGTGCTTGCTGGCCGCCAAGCTGGATCGCGCGAACCATCGCGAGTGGAGGAGGGCCCTGATGGTTGTCCTCGCGGTGCTGGTGGGCAACCTCCGCCCCCACGAAGAGCCAGCGCACCTCCCCAGCCTTCTCGTCCGCAATGGGGAAGCCTCCGATGTGCTTGCCTCCAGGCTCGCAGTCCGAGATGCGGATCTTGCTGTAGACGCCGTGCTCAGCCATGGCCTGGAGCTCGTCTGCCTTGCCCTTCTGGTACTTCAGCTCGTCGAGGGGCTCGCCAGTGTAATAGTCGCAGTGGACCTTCACCGTCGGCTCGGCCGCGCTCGGGCCCACGCTCCACCCAGTGTTCTCGTACGCCCCGCGGTTCGACCGCAGCGCGCACAGGCTCGCAACCGCCTCGGCGTCGGGGATGAGCTCCTTGGCGCAGCCGATGAGGCACCTCCTGCACGCGCACTGCCCGTCACGGTCGCGCGGAAAGACGCAGCGGCCCACGTGCGCCTCGCAGAGGCCCTCACACCGTTCGAAGCCTGACGGGATCGGGTCCCAGAGCGGGCCCACCTCCCGGTCGCCGTCTTCCTCGCAGACCGCCAGCTCGCAGACCGAGAGGCCCGCGACGACCACGACCTCGGGTGCCTGCGCCAGTGCTCCGACCCTCTGCCGCTCGTTCGGCTCCAGTGCCTCCTGCGCGGGGTCTCTCTTTCCAGCGCCTTAGGCGTGCTCACCTCCATCCCTGGGGTCGCTGGCGCTGCCGTAGCAGTAGGTGATGCCGAGGATGCTGCCGCTGCCGAGCCTGGGGCCGCTGCCGAGTGGTCGGCAAGCCCTGGCGGGGGAGCCTGGGGCGCTGGCCCTGGCATCGCTGGGGTGCCAGGCGCGACGCCGCCCTTGGTCTCCTCCAAGAGCTTCGCCTCGAGCCTCTCCTGCGCGATGGTCTCGAAGCGCTGCCGGCGCTGCTCGCTGCGCTGGCCCCGCCCGTAGACGCACTTCGGGCAGCTGTCCGTCGGTCCATGCCTGTTCTTCATAGCCTCCGCGGTGTACATGAATTTCTTGATGGCGGACTTCACGCGCTCAGGCACAGGGGCCCATGGGGTGACGTCGATCTGCTTCAGGAGCTCGGCGTTCCAGCGGAACTCCTCGGGCATGCGGCGACCCGAGCGCACCTTCAGGAGGCTGCGCTGAAGGTCCACCACCAGGTGCTGGTCGCCAAGGTCTGACTTGCCGACCCACATGCCCTTCGCGAAGCGCGCCTCGAACTTGCTCTGGCCCGCCGCGACGCGAGCCGAGATGCGATGCCACACCTGCTCGCCGATCTCTGCCACTTCTCCTTCGTGCTCTCGGCTGAAGAGGAACTTGTAGCTCGATCCTCCGCGGCTCCTCGGCTGGAACCTCGCGGTGCACCAGCCGACCGCGTTGGCGAGGAAGGCGAGGTTGGGTTCCGAGAGTTCGAGCTTGCAGCCGAGCTTGGTCTCAAGTGAAAACCGCAGCGTACGGAGTAGTCCCGCCGCCGCTCCGTTGCTGGCCCCAACGCGCCCCGTGCTCTTCGAGGAGTACGCTGGGCCTTGCCGCGCTATCGTAGAATGCGACCTGAGCTTCTTCACCTGCTCAGCCAGGGCGACGACCGTGTTCTCGCCGTCCGTGAGCAGAATCGCCGTCGTGTGGCCCCAGCTGTCGATGAGCTTGGCCACGAAGAGTGACTTGTAGTCGCCGATGTGCTTGGAGCCGAAGAGCGCGCCCGAGGCGTTGGACCTGCAATCCACGACGTTCAGGATCGCGGGCAGCTCCCCGCGCTCCTTGGTCTCCAGCTTCCTGAAGTCGATGACCTTCACGACGTAGCCGTTCACCATGGGGTACTTCTTCGAGATCTCGTCGGTGGCCACGAAGAAGAAGTCCATCTCCACGACTGGGTACTCGTCGTCACCCTTGGGCTCTGAGCTCACCTCGTGGGGCGTGTCCTTCCCACGGCCCATGACGCAGTCGCTGCGCCACGGCCTGAAGGGAATATGGTGTGCTTCATGAGCTCGCCCCCCCTCCTCCGCGGGCTGGCCAAGTCTCGCGAGCGCCTTCGCCTTCGAGGTGGCGTCCTCGCTGGGGTCTGGTCCGAGCGCTGTCGGCAGCTGCTGTCGGTCCTCTGATGCTGGCACCTGCGCGCGAAGGGTCTTGCGAGCCGCGCTGAGGTACAGCCCCTCGCCCTGCTGCTCGCCGATGCTAGCCGTCCGTGCCGCGCGCTTGCCCTCGGCGGAGCTGTCCAGCATCTCCTCGTACTCCAGGTAGCACGTGCACCGATCCTTCATCAGCGTGATCGCGTTGGCCGGCGTCGGGGGCGAGAGCGGACGGTCCACAATCCAGTCGCCCAGGGGGGAGTGGATGACCGACTTGCCCTGCTTCGTGATCGCGTCGGTGGACATCGCGGGGAACTCCACGTCCGCTGCCTCCGCCGAGATCTGGATCACGTCCTGGCCCGTCCTCAGTCTGACGTCCGTCTTGCCGTAGTGCTGCGCCTTCGCGCCGTCGATGGCCTGCAGCTTGGAGACGCTTGATTTGGCCAGCGCGTAGCCCTTGCTCTTCAGCATGTCGCAGGGGAACGCGGTGATCTGGGCCCCTGAGTCTATCATGACTCCTCTGACGCCGCGGGCTGCCGAAACTTGAGCGCTGTCACCGCTCTCGTTGCGCCTCGCCCTGCTGGGCTCGGCCGACTCCGCCCTCGGCCCCAAGTGCGTGGCCGAGAGGGCGAAGATGCACTTCGGCTTGAGCGCGTCCTGTTCCGCGATGAGGCCGTTGATCCCGCGCGCGCCGAGGGGCATTGTCGGCGTCGTGCTCGCCGTCGAAGCCGATCCCGAAGATGCTGGCATCGTCGCGTACACCGCGTGCTGCGTGAGTGGCTGCGCAAGCTGCCCTGTGCCATCGAACCCAGGCGGAGGAGGAACTCCTGCAGGTAGTGCGCCCCCGCCGGCAGCCTGTCCTGCTGCCGCGGCCCGCCGCTGCTTCTTCTCATCCTTGGCCTTCTTCTTGGCCTCCGCCTTGGCCTCGTTCTCCCTCTTGAACTTGCGGCAGTCGTCCTTGGCGTGGTTCGGCCTCTCGCAGTAACTGCGCCACTTCCGAGGGTGACTCGGGTTGCCCTTCGCCTTTGGTTCGAACTTGTTCTTATTGTTGTCAGTATATGTGTTCTTGTCTCCCTTGCCCTTTCCTTTGCCCTTGCCTTTTCCCTTGCTGGGCGCGCCGATCTGCGCCTTCAAGGCGCTGCGCCTTCAAGGCGCTGTGCCTTCAAGGCGCTCAGGACTTCTGCGCTCACCGCGAGGTGCGTGGCAACGTTCCGAAGCTTGCGGAAGACGTGCTTCTGCAGGTCTGGCTCGTTCTGGAGCGCGCCGAGCAGGATCCCCTTCTTGATGTCATCGCTCACCTGCTCGTCGGCCGCCTTCTCATACTTGTTGATCTCCAAGTCCAGCTTCTCGATCTCTTTCGCCGCGTCCGTGTTCAGCGCGAACAGTGTGGACATGGGTCGCCTCATGCGCGCCACGACGTTGCCAGGCACGTTGGGCGCATAGTCGGCCTTCAGGCGAATCCACGCCTGGCCGCCTTCTGCGTGCAGGACGTTGCGCACGATGGTTTCTCCTCCCGAGTCTTCGGGCATCGCGAGCACCAGCATGTAGTGCAGATGCGTGCTCAAGTCCTCCCAGTCAACGTCGTCGACGCTCATGGTGGCGTTCTTGGCGTCGTCAAGCTGCTCCAGGGTCTTGTCATCCAGCTTCTCGAAGAAGTCCCTGTAGCGCTTGTCGTTCGCCGCCATGTAGGCTCTCCAGTGGAAACCCCCAAGTCGACCAGCCTGCTCTCGAGCCATCGAACTGCTTGACCTTTCCGATGATCTTGGCGTCCAGCACTACCTCGAAGCGCTGGGCGATCCGACCGGGCTGTCCTGGTGCCTGTCCAGCCGCTTCTCGTTGCTGCTGTTGCTGCTGCAGCCGTTGTACTGTCTGCAGCAGTTCCGCTATCTGTTGCTGCTGCTGTTGCAGCTGCTGCTCCATCACGTCGGTGTTCCGCTGCTAGAATCGCGCAGTGGTGTTCTCGCCGCGGAACATCGCTCAGCTCCGCGCTACCATGCTTCAGCCCTCCCCCGTAAGGATTGGGGGAGAGAGGTGAATCAGCCTTCTTTTCTTGAGCCAAATCACAACATACGTTTTCACTCCCCCCCCCTTCCGACCTGGCCTCCTGGGCCCCGCGGGTGCACCCCCCTCAGAAATAAACCAGGGACGAACATTTTTCCAATAGAACTCCCCCTGGGCCTTCGGCGCGTTCCGCCGGGGTCCAGCGAGGCTCTTCCGGAGGTGGTTGCCGTGGGTTTTCCTGCCCCAGACGGCTCCAAGACTGCCCAAGATGGCCTCCAAGACTGCCCAAGATGGCCTCCAAAACGGCTACGATGGCCCCAAGATGCCTCCAAGACGACCCAAGATGCACCCAAGACGGCCCAAGATGGCCTCAAACTGGCCCAAGAGGCCCCGAAAAGGCCTCCAAGACGGCCCAAGAGCCCTTCAAGACGTACTCAAAAAAGGCCCGAAAGGGCCAAAATCATGGATATTCCTTAGGTGTTTCAAAGATTTTGGCATTTTCGCTTTTCCGACGGCCCAAGACGGCCCAAGAGGCTTCCAAGATCGCCCAAAGATCGCCCAAGAGGCCTCCAAGATGGCCCCATGACGGCCCAAGAGGCCCCCAAGAGGGCTCCAAGACGCCCAAGATGGCCTCTAAGACGGTCCTGGAGCACCCCTAAGGGGCCCCAAGTCGGCCCAGAGAGGCCCCCCAAACGGCTTCCGACGGGCCAGGAGCCCACCAAGATGGCCGAAGTTGGCTCGAAGCTGGCCCAAGACGGCGCGAGAGGCCTCCAAGAGGGCGTCCAGGAAGGCCAGAAGAAGGTCCAAAACACAGGTTGTCCTTTGGCTGTTTTAAAAGATTTTGACATGTGCTTCTTTTCGGCCTTCCGACGGCCCGAGACGGCCCAAGAGCTTCCAAAGATCACCCACAGATCGCCCAAGAGGCCTCCAAGATGGCCCCAGAACGGCCCAAGAGGCCCCCAAGACGGCCCCGAGAGGCCCCCAAGACGGCCCAGGAGGCCTCCAAGACGCCCAAGATGGCCTCCAAGACGGCCCTGGAGCACTCCAAGAGGGCCCCAAGTCGGCCCCAAAAGGCCCCCCAAACGGCTTCCGACGGCGTCGGACGGGCCAGGAGCCCAACAAAACAGCCGAAGATGGCCCTAAGATGGCCCAAGACGGCCCAAGAGACATCTAAGTGGGCCTCCAGGAAGGCCTGCAAAGGCCAAAATCATTGATTTCCCGTCAGCTTTTGAAGGATTGTGGCATTTGTTTTTTTTTTCGGCCTTACGACGGCCCGAGACGGCCCAAGGGCCCCCAAAGATCTCCCAAGAGGCCCAAGACGGCCCCAAGAGGCCCCCAAGACGGCCTAAGAGGCCTCCAAGACGCTCAAGATGGCCTCCAAGACGGCCCAAGAGCCCTCCAAGGCGTCCTTCAAGAAGGCCCGAAAGGGTCAAAATGCTCTCCAGACGGCCAATATGACCTTCAAGATGCCCACGTGTTCCTAGAAGGCTTTCCAAACCGATTCGGGGAACACATGGTCCGATAGCTTGGCAGGACCGGCCTCAACGTTCGGCCACATAGGCGCTTCCAAAAAGGCAGGGGGCGGCAGTGATTCGCCGTAGGCGTCTTCGATCCGCCGCCCCCTTTTGCTGGCAACAGGAGTGCCTGGCGTGCCGAACAATATGGCTGTTGGGTTTGGTTCTTTGTCCAAAAGAACTCTCCTGGGACTTCGGCCCGTCCCGCCTGGGTCCCGGGAGATTCCCGAAAATCCATCCGTCAATGCCTTTGTTGCCCCAAGTTGGCCTCCAAGACGGCCAAGATGGTCCAGGATGGGCTCAACTATGCCTCCAAGACAGCCAAGATGGCCTCAAAGACGTCTAAGATGGCTCCAATATGCACCCAAGACAGCCCAAGATGGCCTCAAGATGGTCTACGACGGCCCAAAAGGCCCGCAAGAGGCCTCCAAGACGGCCCAAGAGCCCTCCAAGACGTCCTCAAAGAAGGCCCGAAAGGGCCAAAATCATTGATTTTCCGTTGGTTTTTGAAGGATTTGGGCATCTGCTTCTTTTCGGCCTTCCGACTGCCCAAGACGGCCCTAGAGGCCCCCCGAATCGCCCCAAGATCGCCCACGAGGCCTCCAAGATGGCCTCATGACGGCCCAAGACGCCCCCAAGATGGCCCCAAGAGGGCCCCAAGATGGGCCGAGAGCCTCCAAGACGCCCAAGATGGCATCGAAGACGGCCCTGGAGCACCCCAAGAATGCCCCAAGTCGGCCCAGAGAGGCCTCCCAAACGGCTTCCGACGGCGTCAGACGGGCCAGGAGCCCACAAAAAGATGGCCGAAGTTGGTTCGAAGCTGGCCCAAGACGGCCCAAGAGGCCTCCAAGAGGGCCTCCAGGAAAGCCGGAAGAGGCCGAAACATAGATTTTCCATTAAGTTTTTAAAGGATTTTGACATTTGCTTCATTTCGGCCTTTCGACGGCCCAAGAGCTTCCAAAGATCACCCACAGATCGCCCAAGAGGCCTCCAAGATGGCCCCAGAACGGCCCAAGAGGCCCCCAAGACGGCCCCAAGAGGCCCCCAAGACGGCCCAAGAGGCCTCCAAGACGCTCAAGATGGCCTCCAAGACGGCCCTGTAGCACCCCAAGAAAAGCCCAAGTCGTCCCAGCCTCGCCCACCGTATTCCCCGAACGCTTTCCAAACCGATTCGGGGAACACATGGTCCGATAGCTTGGCAGGCCTCTGGCCACAACGTTCGGCCACATAGGCATTTCCAAAAAGGCAGGGGGCGGCGGTGCTTCGCCGTAGGCGTCTTCGATCCGCCACCCCCTTTTGATTTATCAAAGGGGTGCCTGGCGTGCCGAACCCTACCGCTTTTGGTTTTGGTTCTTTTCCAAAAAAACTCCCCCTGGAGCTCCGGCGCGTCCCGCTGGCCACCCGGAAGGATTGCCCGGAGGTGGTTGCCGTGGGTTTTCCTGCCCCAGATGGCTCCAAGACTGCCCAAGATGGCCTCCAAGACTGCCCAAGATGGCCTCCAAGACTGCCCAAGATAGCCCCAAGATGCCTCTAACACGGCCCAAGATGCACCAAAGATGGCCTGAGATGGCCTCAAGATGGCACAAGACGGCCGAAGAGGCCCCCAATAGGCCTCCAAGACAGCCCAAGAGGCCTCCAAGAGGTCCTCCAAGAGGGCCCGAAGAAGCCAAAATCATTGATTTTCCGTCAGTTTTTGAAGGATTTGGGCACCTGCTTCTTTTCGGCATTCCGACGGCCCAAGACGGCCCCAGAGGCCCCCACGGTCGCCCCAAGATCGCCCACGAGGCCTCCAAAATGGCCCCATGACGGCCCAAGACGCCCCAAAGAAGGCCGGGCCCCAAGAGGGCCCAAGAAGCCTCCAAGACGCCCAAGATGGCCTCCAAGACGGCTACGTAAGATGGCCCCAAGATGCCTCAAAATACGGCCCAAGATGCACCCAAGAAGGCTTAGATGGCCTCCGAGACGGCTAAGATGGCCCCAAGATGCCTCTAACCCGGCCGAAGATGCACCCAAGACAACCTAAGATGGCACAAGACGGCCCAAGAGGCCCCCAAGAGGCCTCCAAGACGGCCCAAAAGAAGTCCAGGAGATCTTCCAGGAGGGCACGACGAGGCCAACATCATTGATTTTCCTAACGGTGTTGAAAGATTTTCGCATGTGTTTCTTCTCGGCATTCCGACGCCTCCAGATGGCGCAAGAGGCCCCCAAGATCGCCCAAGAGGCCTCCAAGATTGCCATATCACGGCCCAAAAGGCTCCCAAGATCGCCCCCAAAGGGCTCCAAAACGGCCCAAGAGGCCTCCTAGACGCCCAAGATGGCTTCTAAGAACTCCTGATATGCCCCAAGAGGGCCCCTAGACGACCCAGACAGGCCTCCAAGACGGCTTCCGACGGCGTTAGACAAGCCAGGAACGCCCTAAGACTGCCAAAGAGTCTCCACCAGAAGCCCCCCAAGGCCCCCCCAAACCCTCCAAGAGGCCCCCAGGAAGCTCCCAGGAGGCCCCAAGAGTGCCCCAAGAGGCGCCCAAGAGGCCTCCTCCTCCTCCTCCTCCTCCTCCACCTCCTCCTCCTCCTCCTCTTTTCTCCTCCTCCTCCTCCTCCTCCTCCTCCTCCTCCTCTTCTTGCTCCCCCATGCGTTCCCCCAAGTCTTTCCAAACCGACTCGGGGAACACATGGTCCGATAGCTTGGCCAAGCTCTGGCTCAGCAGTCGGCCACAGAGGCGCTTCCAAAGGGGCAGGGGGCGGCGGTGATTCGCCGTAGGCGTCTTAGATCCGCCACCCCTGTTGGCTTGCCACAAGGGTGCCCTGCGTGCTGGACCCTTTCGGTTTTGATTCTGGTTCTTTTTCCAAAAGAACTCTCCCCTGGGGCTCCGGCCCAGCCCGCCGGCCACCCGGAAGAGCGCACAAAGCCGCACAAAGCCCAGAAACGAGCTCAACGTCCACAAAGAACTCCCTGGGTCAATGTCTTTCCCGCTCCAAGGTGGCCCTCGATGGCCTCCAAAACGGCTCGGATGGCCCGAGGTGGTTCCCAAGTTCGCCCAAGTCGGTCCAAGACCGCCTCCACGACGGCCAAGGAGGGTCCAAGATGCCTCCAAGTAGGCCCAAGATGCCTCTAAGACGGCCCAAGACTGCCCCCCAAAGGCCTCCAAGACAGCCCACGAGGCCTCCCGGAGGTCCTCCAGGAAGGCCCGAAGAGGCTAAAATCATTGATTTTCCTTCCAATTTGAAGGGTTGTGGCATTTGCTTCTTCTCCGCTTTCCGACGGCCCGAGACCCCCCAAGAGCCCCCAAAGATCGCCCCAAGATCGCCCAAGAGGCCTCCAAGATGGTCCAAGAACGGCCCAAGAGGCGCCCAAGACCGCCCCAGGAGGGCCCCAAGACGGTCCAAGGGGCCTCCAAGGCGCCCGAGACGGCCTCCAAGACTGCCCTGGAGCACCCCAAGGGAGCGCCCAGTCGGCCCAGAGAGGCCCCAAGACAGCTTCCGACGGCACCCGACGGGCGAAGGACAGCCCACGGTGGTTCTAAGATGGCCCAAGACGGCCCAAGAGGCCTCCGAGAGGTCCCCAAGGCGGCGCAAGAGGCCTCCCCGAGGGCCTGCAGGAAGGCCCGAGGAGGTCAACATCATTGACTTGTCTTTTCAAAGTGTTTAAAGGGTTTGGGCACTTGCTTCTTTTCGACCTTCCGACGGCCCGAGACGGCCCAAGAGCCCCCAAGATCGCCCGAGACGGCCCAAGAGTCCCAAGAGCCGCCAAGATTGCCAAGAACGGCCCAAGAGGCCCCCAAGACGGCCCCAAGAGGGCCCCAAGACGGCCCAACAGGCCTCCAAGATGCCCACGATGGCCTCCAAGACGGCCCTGGAGCACCCCAAGAGGGTTTCAAGTCGGCCCAGAGAGGCCCCCAAGACGGCGTCCAACGGGCGAGGAGCCCACCAAAACGGCCCAAGATGGCTCTAAGATGTCCCAAGACGGCCCAAGAGGCCCCAAAGAGGCCTCCAAGACGAAAGAGGCCTCCAAAATGATCTCCAGGGAGGCCCATAGATGCCAACATCATTAATTTGTCTGCCGTTTTTGAAGAAAGTTGACTTGTGCTTCTTGTCGGCCATCCGACGGCCCGACGGCCCAAGAGCCCCGAAAGATCAACCAAGAGGCATCCAGGATGGCCCCAGAACGGCCCAAGAGGCCCCCAAGACGGCCCCAAGAGGGCGCCCAGACGGCCTAAGAGGTTCGCAAGACTTCCAAGATGGCTTCCAAGACGGACCTGGAGCACCCCAAGAGGGTTTCCCGTCGGCCCGGAGAGGCCCCCAAGACGGCTTCCGACTGCATCAGACGGGCCAGAAATACCTTGAGACGGCCAAAGAGGCCCAGGAGAAGTCTCCAACGGCCCCCACGAGGCCCAAGGAGGCCCCCAAGATGCCTCAAAGAGGCTCCCAGGAAGCTCTCAGGAGGCCCAAAGAGTGCCCCAAGAGGCTCCCAAGCTGCTTCCTCCTCCTCCCCCTCCTCCTCCTCCTCCTCGTCCTCCTCCTCCCCTCTCTGCTGCTGCTGCTGCTGCTCCTCCTCCTCCTCCTCCTCCTCCTCCAGAAGTTCCCCTGAAGGGTTTCCCGCCATCCTCCCCCATCTTCCCCGCCATCCTCCCCCAGAAGTTTCCACAAGGGTTTCCACAAAGGCTTGTGGAACACAGGGCCCGACAGCGTGGCAGAGCTCCTGCCACAACGCTCGGCCACGCGGGCGATTCCAAAAGGCAGGAAGGGGCGGCGATGCGCCGCGGGCGTCTTCGATAACGCCAACGTCTCAATGTGCGCTGATGATTCCTAGCCGCCCCCGCATGCTGGTCCCATGATGGGACTGTTTTCCACCACCACCACCCTAAGTTGGAGGGGGGTTCCTCCTCCTCCTCCTCCTCCTCCTCCTCCTCCCCTTCCTCCTCTTCTTCTTCGTCATCCTCCTCCTCCTCGCCCTCCTCCTCCTTCCCCCCTCCAACGTATGGTGGTGGTGATGGTGGAAAACAAGCTCATCATCCCAAATACGCCAAGGCAGCGCCGAGATGCACCGACGCGACTCCGACATGTCCCACTATGATGGAGAGGGGGCCGGCGGCAGGCGGCGAAGGCCTTACGGACTACCGCTTCCCTCTCTGAGCTCCGGGGCCAGCTGCGCCCGCGGGCCGCGCCCCAGCTGCAGCCGTGGGGCCAGTCGAGGAACAAATGACGGCATACACACATAAATTGTCGGAGGTCCGCACGGACTTCTCGGAAAAGCGCTGGGCCTCATTTCCTGGCGCGGGGAGCGCGCCACGGGCAGCGCCGGAGGCGCCGCCAGGAAGCTCGAGCGCCGATCCAGGACATCCGCGCGGACCTCCGAGAGATCATGTTCTTGGAGCTGTGGTATGGGGAGCGGCAGCTCCTCCTATCATCACCCGCACCCGCACCCTCCTCCTATCCGATCCTCCTCCTCCTCCTCCTCCTCCTTCGCGCCCCTCGCCCCTCGGCACAACTCCCCATCCTCTCCTGCAGCGCGTGATTGCACATTATATGAAAGAGTTGCTGCGGGTGCGCATGCATGCATGTATGCATCATTGCGTGAATCTGCTGCGAACCGTAGCCACAGAGGATCGAATGTAGAAGTCGCCAGAGACACGTCCTAGAGCCAAGCGGAAGCAACAACTGCGCAAGCACAGCTTGAGAGCTCTGTTTGTTTCATCGTGCCTCCTCCCCGAAAGCTCATGCCATGATAGGGGGAGCGGTAGGTAATCCTATCAAAACCCGCCCCTGCTCCTGCCCGATCCTCCTCCTCCTCCTCCTCCTCCTCCTCCTCCTCCTCATCATCATCATCATAATCAGCATCATCAACATCATCAGCATCATCATCATAATCATCATCATCAGCATCATCATTGTCATCATCATCATCATCATCATCATCATCATCATCATCATCATCATCATCATCATCATCATCATCATCATCTTCATCATCATAATCAGCATCATCATCATCGTCGTCATCATCATCATCATCATCAGCATCATCATCATCAGCAGCATCAGCATCAGCATCAGCATCAGCATCATCATCATCATCATCATCATCATCATCAGCATCATCATTATCACCGTCACCATCACCATCACCATCACCACCACCACCACCATCATCATCATCATCATCATCAGCAGCATCATCATCAGCAGCATCATCACCATCCTCATCCTCCTCCCCCTCCGCCTCCTCACCCCTCGCCCCTTGCACTTCCTCCTCCTCCTCCTCCTCCTCCTCCTCCTCCTCCTTCTCTCGGATCCTCCTCCACGAAAGCTCATGCTTGTGACAGGTGCACGTTGCCGCCCACGTACGCGGAGAGGAAACGCGGCGATACGGCGGATGGGGAGGCCGCCAGGGACGCTGGCAGGGGCGGGACAGGGGAGACCCCACAGCAGAGCGCCAAGTCAGAACCCTCTGCGAACCGATGCCTCCTGTTAGAACCTACCAGGGCCGCCTGCGATCGGATTCGACATCGATCGTGGAGCGCCTCGCTTGCGGCATCGGGAGGGGGAGGAGGAGGAGGAGGAGGAGGAGGAGGAGGAGGAGGAGGAGGAGGAGGAGGAGGAGGAGGAGGAGGAGTGAGGAGGAGGAGGAGGAGGAGGAGAAGGGAGGAGGAGGAGGAGGAGGAGGAGGAGGAGGAAGAGGAGGAGGAGGAGGAGGAGGGAGGGGGAGGAGGAGGAGGGAGTATGAGGGAGGAGGAAGGAGGAGAAGGAGGAGGAGGCGCTCGGGGGATGCGCGCGTTTGTTCCTCGGGCCAGGTACACGTTGCCGCTCACGTGCGCGAGGCCCGCCGCGGCCGGCGCCCCGAGCGAGGCCTCGAGCCACCGCGCCAGGGCCACCAGCAGCCCGTCCGTCTCGAGGCCCAGGGCCTCCTCCATCCTCGAGGGGAGACGAGCCCGAAACAGATCCAGCCTCCAGCCTCCATCCTCCATCCATCCTCCATCCATCCTCCTCCATCCTCCATCCTCCATCCTCGAGTCAGGAACAACTCACGACAGAAAGGTTTTCGTTTTCGCCATTGTCGGCCTCTGGGGGCCCTTACCCGGCCGCGAGACTGTCCGGAAACGACTCAGGATCCGGAACCTGTCCAGGGGAATTGGTCGAGACCTTTAGAGGCCGACGTTATGAACTAATCTTAGGTCGGGCCTTTCTCCGTACAGAGGAATTTTGGGGGGAAATCCAAAAAATACCCCAAAAATGCCCCAAACATGCTTAAACATGGGCAACAAATGGTCCCCAGACAATTTTTGACTAGTTTTGGATATTCCCCCTGTAGAGGGACAGGCCTGACTTAAAACTAATCATGACGTCGGCGGTCTGGGACAGGGGAGGGCACTGGCTCAGGGAGGGGAGCCTCGAGCAGGAATCGGCGATACATCGCCGATGGATCGCTGGCAGGCCCCCAGTTGCAAATCTGCAGGCGACACAGCGCCGACAGATCGACGATAGGCCCCCGATCGGCGATACATCGCCGACAGATCGCCCCCATCCTCGGAGGAGAGAAAGCGAATTACCTCCCAAACGGGCAATGTCAGACCCCACGCAGACTAGCCATGAAAGGGCGGCCTTTTGCCCAGACCCCCGGAAAATTCCAAGACAGCTCAAAAAAACCTCCAAATTAGACCACCCCATGTTTATAGTGAAATCCGAAATGCGAAGCGCTCTGCAATTACAGATAAGGGATAAGAGTGAGGAAGAGGGCGCTGGGTGGGTCGCTGGTGGCTCGCGAGTGGGTCGCGGGATGGGTCGCGGGGTGGGTCGCGGGGTGGGTCGCGGGCGATGACAACGACACCACAGCAACCACACAACAAGCAGAATCCGCCGCACGGAACGCCGGGGAACATGTGAGACCCGAGTGACAATGAATGGCCGCTCCTTTGTTTTGACGTGGTAAACTCAAGGTGCAAAAAAACGTTGTTGCGCTGAGACAAGTTCGCCAGTGGGGCTCGTCAGTCCGCTGGTGAGCCGCAGATGGCAGCAGTGCGCGAGCGACTTACAATCAAGAAGAGGCGGTGGCGATAAAATCTGGCTCCACATGTCCTTGTGACACCCTGCCCGCCCAACGCCAGGTCATCACCCTGCCCGCCCATGTCGCACCGAGACACGCCCGCATCCCGACAACATCAGGATCTGGGTCTTTCTGCATATTCGGCCTCTGGGTGCTCCTGACGTGCCCCGGAGGCCGTCCGACAGCAATTCGGGGTCAAAAAACAAGGCCCTGGGGGAGGGGCAGACCTCTGGAGGCCGCGTCGCGACAAAGTCGTGACGTCGGGGGTCTGGGAAGGAGGAGAACTGTGCACAGACAGCGATCCTGGCCAGACCCACCATCTTGAGCTCAGGACACATTGACCATGACCAAGATGTCGCGGAATCTTGTCGATGCCGATCTTGGGGAAGGTCCATGCTGGCCGTCGCCGACTCGCGAGGATTACCTTCAGAGTGAAGCTGACCCAGATGGACGGTGACCAAACTCGGCACCACGCTTCTGCGCTCAGTCTTGGCCATGGTGTCCATTTTCTTCCCCTCCAGAGGGAGAACGGAGATGCCAGGAAGGCACAGATTGAGGGACAACGATAGGGGGACCCTGGGCGATGAATGGGCGAGTGGTGGTCGATGCATTCCCCCCTATGCCTATCCCCTCGCATCGTTGCCCCTACAGATGCACCGATCCTGGGCCCAGAATGGACCTGGCCAGGACCGGTGCATGTGCATATGGTGCTCTTTGCCCGGATCCTCTCGCGCGAGTCGCTGAGCAGCACCCAGGGCTTGCGCTCGAGCCGCTCCAGCATCCCGAGGGAGGCGGCCGCGGCGGCGAAGTCCAGCACGCCCACGCCAAGCCTGTCGGGGAGCAAGCAGACCCAGCAGAGACCTCGCGGCTCCATGCGGGGCTGCTCACTGCGCAACTGCCGCTACTTTCGTGGGCTCCTGGGAGGTCCAGCGGAAGGAAGGTGTACGCGGACCCAGCCGAAACCTAGTGACCTTCGGTGCGCGGCTTCCAGAGACCGCCAGGGAGGCCAAATGCAAGCAATTCAAGCGCGACCGCCAGTCCTAGACCACCGACATCATGACTCTCTCATATAACGTCGAGTCCCTGGAGGTCTCGACCGATTCCCTGAGACTGGTTCTTCATTTTGTACCATTAGTTTGAGAGAGTCCCGAGAGTTGGTAAGGGCCCCCAGAGGCAGAAAAAAACGAAAAACCTTCCGTCGTAATTTGTTCATGACTCGAGAGGGTCTGGACCCCCCAGTGCTGGAGAATCCAGTGCAAGGTCACTCCAGCGAAGGGTCACTCCGGCGACTCGTACAGCCAGCAGTCCCGCGTCCACACATGAGATCCTGAATAGTTGGGAGACTAGACACGAGCTGCGGTCATCTCAGAGCGTGGAGACTGGGGGGCCAGGGGGAGACAAGGATGAGGAGGAGGAGGAGGAGGAGGAGGAGGAGGAGGGAGGAGGAGGGAGGAGGGAGGAGGGAGGAGGGGAGGAGGAAGGGAGGAGGGGAGGAGGGAGGAGGGAGGAGGGAGGAGGGAGGAGGGAGGAGGGAGGCGGAGGAAGAGGAGGAGGTAGAGGAGAGGTAGAGGAGGAGAGGAGGAGAGGAGGAGGAGGAGGAGGAGGAGGAGGAGGCCTGCCCGGGGGCGGCGCCCTCCACAGCGCCCGGCCCAAGTGCATGGCCCCCCACCAACTCCTGCACCGTGCGGCCAGAGGCGCGCGGGACGCGCGGGGCTGGTCCCAGTTCAGAGCACGGGGGACAAGCATGCACGGCGACAGCTATTTCCCTTCCCTCCCTCCCCTCCTCTGCACGGCTTCCCTCCCGGGCCGTAGTAGACCCGAGGAGGAGGAGGAGGAGGAGGAGGAGGAGGAGGAGGAGGTGAAGGAGAAGGAGGAGGAAGAGGAGGAGGAGGAGGAGGAGGAGGAGGAGGAGGAGGAGGAGGAGGATGGATGATGATGATGATGAGGAGGAGGAGGAGGAGGAGAGGAGGAGCAGGAGGAGGATGGGAGGACGGGTCGCCTAAGCCCTTCGGAGAAACCCTCCACCTTCCTCCCACCCCTCCGTTCCCTCCCTCCACAGGCGTGGCTGCGCCGGCGTAATCGAGCCAGACGAAGAACTGGTGCTGCTGCCACGATGCTTCCCGCCGCATCTCTCGGGCGGCCGAGAGGAGGATCCAAGAGGATATCGACGATCGAAAAGGATGGATGCTCGAGGAAGGCCGAGGAGGCTCGGGGAAGAGCGAGGATCGGCGGGGGGAATCGAGGATCGAGTAGGACCGAGGACGAGAAAGATCGAGGGCCAAGCCCCCCCCCCCCCGGCAGCAGCCTGCGCCGCCTGCTGTGCGGCAAAGCCCCCCCCCACCCCTCCCCTTTCGCCTCCGCTCCCCCTT